GCGAGTTTTCGAACTCGTCTAAGCCGGCTCGGAAACTTGCCGACTTAGGCCGCGTCGGTGCCAAGCATCCCGCGAGTCACGAATTCCGCAAACTTTCCCGGGACCGGGGCTTGCAACAGACTTTGCAACAGTCTGAGACGCGAAGCGATCCGAAGCCTGGATCCTAGACGCTGGATCGATGATACGGAAAAGCTGGACGAAGAAATTCTGTCACCGAAATGGAATCTCCCCATTACGTTTTTGACAACTTGATCGCTGTCACTCCACTGTGGGTGACACAATTACGTCATGGACTTATGTATGAGAATAACAATTGTATAATAATTGTATAGATTTAGGAACTAGTTTTCTAAGTGGAATATTAAAAGCTTCTATTGGACCTGTGGGAAGTGTGTCATATGACACCGATTACCGCGAGAAACGTTGGCTTTGTCATTAACGTTGCACCAAAAGATTGTTAATTTGCATTGAGAATTGTATAGGAGAATCTCATTTGCAACTGATGAGATTTTTACGAGGACCAGTTTAATGATCACATGTTAAGAAATGTGTGAAACTGTCTCGCACAATAAAGCCCGCGAAACAAAGTAATTTTTAATGGCCAATTCGAAGGGCAAATGGTCGATTGTGACGGGGAAAATTCGCGGACGAGCGCAGCAGGGAAAGAAAATGATTTATGAAGAATCGGTTTAAGGGCTGGTCGGGAAGGGGTCTGGAGCGGCGGGGTTCTCTCGCATTAACGAGATTGTAAGGTCGGACGGATGGTGGAGAACCCGGGGAGTTGTTCGCGGAACTTTCCTCTCCGGGCACGAAGAAATTTCAAAGTAGGAATAACTCTTCCTCGCAGACGCTGGTAACCCAGGCCACGTCGGATTCCAAAACTTTCCTAGAATTACTCGCTAACGAGAGAAAGTTTCGAGTCGTCGAAGCGGCGGCCTCGGGCCAACCGGGGTTAACGCTTCAGTTTTGTCCCGGCACCGGCCGGCCAACTTCGAAAAGTGACTTCTGATTACCATTTCCAAAAGCCCGATCAAACACTCTTTCCACTCCGCTCATCGTTGCAACGCTCGGAATCGTGAACGCGATTCCCTGCGCGATTCGATCTGAATGATACGGGACTTCGAATAGTAATGCTATTTTCGAACAACCTAACGAACTGTTATGTCGCAAACGTTAATTGTAACTGCCAATAGAATTCCTGACACTCTCAGAATCGAATTTTCATCGAAATATTGTTTCTTCTTATGAATTATTGAAAATCTGGTTACCAATAGGGATAATATACTTAGAACTATACCGCGGCTGTTTTTAACCCATAGAGAAGATTTATTCAAGCTTTATGCTCAGAGAATGGCCGATAAACTGTTCAAGATTATCCGTCATATAAAATGTCATTCAAATTCTAAATCTTTTTTCGCCATCTTGAAAAAGCTGGAATTAAATAAAAATTCATGTGTCCTCTAAATAGACCTATTACGGTTACTAGTAAAATAAAAATCTCATTAAACGTTCGCAAATTTTATACCCCAACTTTTTGTAAGTAATTCAATATCTCATAAAAGATATTGCAATAAATACATACCTTCGATACAAATTAATTAAACGAATCGAAGCATATCTTTAAATTTCTCTAAAAAGTGCAAGACTTCTTGAACAGCTAGAATAATTAAACGAATCCCACAAACGACAAAGGTACTCGCTAAAGATACAGCTCCAAGAATGACGTCGGTTGGTTACGACGGGACTGTCTGCTTGTGCTCGATTACCGTCTCGCCAGGAAATCGAGCAAGGAAGACACGGAGAAGGTGGGGCAATCGTGTTCACGAGGAACGGAAGTCGGCCGCCAAGGTAGCAACGGACTTTATTCCCGATTCCTGAAAGCTCGGGGGTGCCGCAAACACGACTTTATTGATTCCCCGCATTAAAGCGAAGCAGCCGGTATGCGTGGCAGCGTCGTCGTTCGAATGCCGTCGCACCTTTCCCCCAGCCGCTTCGTTCGAACGGGAGGATTCACCACTGCTTGCGTGTTTATCTCACGGACAGATAGCCGTTATCGGCTGAGAAATATAAAAGCGCCGCGCGTCGGGCGGCCTCGGTTCATGGCAATGAACGATAAATGCGATAATAACGCGGCTTGATACGTCGAAAACTTGCCCCGCTCATTATCTTACGGATGCGAACCTGGAGTCAGCAGAGACAGCCCGGAATTTTGAAACCACGGACGGATTGTCTTTAATCGAATCGAAACCGCTATCCGTTGCAGGCTAAAGGCCAGACATGGTAAATTTAGCAGGCGAACGTATCGACGAAACGAGCGTTTAAGTAGATATGAACGCTGTATGGTCGGCCACTTAAGCTGCGTGTCCGTTTGCAAGCGATTATCGAGGGAATAATGACGCGTTGGAATGCAAATGATTGGTTGTTTAGTTGTACGACTGAACTGCTCTCATATTGAATTCTATATATCTCTTGTAAGCTTCCTAGTAAACTGTAAAAGGTGGGTGTTTATATGCTGATAGTGAAAAGTAGGTCACCCTGTATATGGAAACGCAGCTGCACTATAGACAGGACATGGTAAATTTAAAAGACAGGAATATCGATGAAACGACGTTTTAAGTGAATATAGGTGTCACATATCTAGGTACTTGATCTTAGACCGCGTATCCAGTTGGGAAATATTATCGGCAACTCTATTGAAGTAAAACTGCATTTTCCTTCTCCCAATCTATTCCAGTCAATCACACTACTAAATAAATACCGTACAAATCTAAACTAACCGAAGCATCCATTTATTATCACACTTGTTTCCCTCGACATTGGAAAACAAACTTTATTATCCCTCGTGTTACGATCGCAAACAGTCGACCGAACAAACACGAACAAGGGGAAACTGAATCATCGCGCGTTCCGTCGCGAAGAAAATCGGTTTCGAAAGGTTCAAGCAACCGCGTTTTCTCCAACGTCGGCAAAAAGATACGGGTCGCGCGTATCTACGGCCGAAACGTATTTAAAGCAATCTCCGCTCGGGTTACATGTTTGCTTCGACGAGGTTATCGACGCTGCCTCAATTCGTGACTCGAGACCCGGTCCCCGGTCGTCGATGGAAGTTGCGAAACGCGACGTCACGATCCTTGGCAGACATTAATCAAGCTAACGGTACTGGGGCGCATCCTCTCGCTCGTCCGTCTTTCGTTCTTTCGACACCGACGACCGTTCCCGGCGAATTTCAGACACCTACTCGCTACGTGGAAACATGTCCGTGGCGTTCGACGACACGAATGGGTTTGGAACATCGTTTTCCACGATTCCAGGAGCCTCAGACGGCGCGGCCACGCAAAAATGCCCGACGGGCTGCCGGCTCGTTTATTATCGCAAATTACATGGCGATTTAAAAATAGAACGGAATTGAGTTTCACTCACCACGACCAGCGCGTGCGTCAGAGCAGTTGATGACCTCGACCTTCTCGGTGTCATGCCGACGACCTCGCCTCTCATGATGCTCTCGACCACTGCGGGAAAAAGAGTTTCCTTTAAACGGGAAACTGAATGTTTTTAAGCGATGCGGTTGCGGTTGCATTCAACTAGTGATTTGTCGTTGTCCCGAAAATTGGATTGTTATGGTTTCATTCGATTTTTATATAATTCATGCAACTGCAGGTTTGATGTAATATCGAAATTAAAGTTTAAATTGTAATTATGTGAAATATAAAAGAGGACTAAGCAGAAGGAGATCAGATCTTATGATCAGACATATTATACATAGCATCATAAAGCAACGAATTACCTAAATTTTATTTCTCTGCTTTACCTTGGGGATAAGAAGGTTTAAATCTTAAGAAAATTCTAATCTTTGACGGTCGAAAGAGGAATCCTCGAGTTTAAAGCTGGAATAATTCGCAAGAACTTACCTCCGTCTCCGATCAGCCGCATTTGTACTAAACTAGGGTCCTCGTTGTGATCCTCGAGGACAGTGTCATCAGTGACGGTCAAGTCCTGCAACAACAATACACCTTTCATAAACGATCAATCGAAATAACTATCCCGAGTATCGAAAACGTATCTCAAAAATACATGAACAGATTCTAGACCAACAGATTTTCATTTCTCCTGCACGACGAATTTTTTCCGCAATAATCTAGCGCGTCGGATCCGCCTTCCGGCAGGCAATCGTTGACACAGAAAGCGTCTTTCATTTTTGCGTGGCTTGTCGCGAGGCGAGACCCGTGGACGGACGATTGAAACATCAACGCGACTTCCAAGCGTCGATAAATCTTTTTCACTGTGGAATTTATGGCTGCCGTTGGGCAGACGTCCCCGCGTTTTCCAGCGGGTGGCATGGACACGGTGGCAATCCCTGTCACGGGACGCGGACGTGTGTCTGCTTCGTTAAAGGGAATTACTACTTTCTCTGTCAACGCGGCCAACCGATTGACGATCGATCGCGTAACAACCGGCTCTGGGTGGCGTCTGATCAAGTCCTTTTTGTCGTTTACAATTAATTTTCGAAAGGAATTAAAAAGAAAATGCATTGAGTTCGAGAATCTAAGTATTACATATTTTACTGTGACTCGATATTCTACTGTAAATCGTATTATATTATATACATGTTCAATTCACTGTTCCCAAGAGACAAAGATGAATCTTCGTACTCGACACCGTCAGCTCTAGACAGCTCAGGCAATGACTTTGACGGAGACAGCGACGAAAAAGGACATTCACAGAGTAAGTCTCACCTTGGTGGACTCGTTGTAACCAACAATGACGGCAGTGTACCATTGCGTGGTGCCCTCGGCCCGATAAACCTCGACCCTGAAGCCGACCAGGACGCTTGGCGTTGTCAGCAGGATCCTCTGCCCGTCCTGCATCTCTGCCCATCGTCTGACCGCGCTCGCCCAAGCCACCGCGCCTTTCGTCAGCTCCCAGTCCTGCTGCAAATACGACAACCGGTTGAAGCCTCGTTTAAAAGCTCGTCCTTGGGCAACGACGACGACGAAAGATTGGTTTGATTTTAAACATGTTCCGGAAAAATGAAAATGTGACTTGAAAGTTGATAAAGCTGTTATAGTGAAGTTGTCGGAACATGTTAAGAGTTTTTTCTTTCCCTTATTATCGAACTCCATCGCGAACGAGCTATTCACTAAGGTCACGGTGAACTTTCGATGAGTCGGAGCTAAAAGACCATCTGGATGATTTGATCACTTTTCTATTACAACAGAGTTAAGAATTCGATTTATTCTAACGTAGGCAGTTAGCCCACACCTAAGGCAAGCTAGATTTATTGTTCGACTAGTTTAAAAATTGCTATGGCAGTCATATATGAAAGATTTCTGGTTCCCTGAACTGCTTCCAAACATTCAAATTTTATGAAATTCTACAGTCTGTCTAGAACAATGCTATAGCTTAAACTGTTTTATAGAAGATATAGCTGTTGAAGTATTGCTCAAGAATATTCGAGATACCCTGGTTTCTTCAGCTTCAATTTCATCAATGTTCGCGAGCAACGCGACCGACCGAGGAATAAAGAAGGATACGCTGTCTCCGAAGGAGGAAAATGAAATGAAGGAGCCTCAGATCGCTTTCCAGCGGTAAATCGGGCTAGCCGGAGGCAACGTCTGATACTTGGCGTCATAATTGCCACGATTAATTATTCTCTGCCGGCGCGGCGCGTGGTTCGTTACGTATCTACGCCCGGCCCAACAATGTAAAGTTTATCAGCGGCCCGATTCATTTCAGCCGATAAATGAGCAGGGTCGCCGGGTCACCGGGTAATTGAGAAGTCAAAAGTCTATGTGTCTCGTATTAAAACTTCACGGAACTATTTTGTTCGCGCGGGAAGAGGCGCAACTGCTATCTCTTTGTATTGTAGAACTGCCAGAATCCACCTGTTAACGCAGTCTTATTAAATTTTCGCCGGATCAAAATCCGTATCTGGCACAGACCGAGTTGCCAAGTGTTGCTAAAGTTGTCCTCTCACGCTAAGACGCTGGATTGTATTTATACGTCTCCTCAAAGGATTGTTTCAGACAGATCATTCTTGGATAACCGAGTGTTACGAGCACTTTGACCACATCGCTGAGAATTCGGCGAGTTATTTCGAGAACTTCGTCGTAATTCCGTTGTATTTGGAAACTTCGGAGACTATGAGGCAGAATGAAGCACGATTCATGTTATTAGTTTCTCAACTGCACCGCAATGCACACATGGTGTCCTAGTTCTTTGATGTCAAAATATGTTGATTCTATATTATATCCCGTCATAAGGTTTGTGCAAAACTGCAGAACATCTACAATTAAAACAGACTTAATTTAAGTATTAAATTCTACAAAAACTCCCCATCTGTTAAAAACATCTTTCTAAACCTGCCTGAAAACTGTCGCCTAAATTACAAGAAATACCGAATCTCAGAAACTCCCACAGACCAACAAACAAGAACTATTCAATCTATGCTTTTCAATCGGTCCATTCATTTGCTCGCATTTTTATTTCTAAACTGTAGCACCGGCAATAAAGAATTAACTCGCGCCGCTATCGCCGTCGAGTAATTGGCCTTTGGAGTTCAAGAGTGAAACCGAGGCAGCGCGACGACGTCGACGATCGATAAGGTCCTTTTCGTTTCGTTGTTTCGGCCGTTCCTTCCTCTCTCCCATCAATTTTCCCGGCGATCAGCGTCTGCCATCTCCCTCCGGTCGCCCGAGCATGTATAAGTGTACGCGCACGGTCGTTGCGTCACGATCCCACATTACGTCATCGTCGCGTCGTTACGTCAGACGTGTTGTGCAATCACGGCGCGAGGTATGACGGCGATGCACGATAATGACAGTAATATAACGGCAATTAGAACGCTATTACCGAAGCGTCGGGAGCACTTAACGGACGCCGCGACGTTCCCGCGTAATCCGTGGCGCCTACAGCGACGGGATCCCGCGACAAACGCAATTTCCGACCTTTCGAATCCTCGTTTCGAGATTTTTCGCTCTAGAATTTGAATTCGCCGTGGCTTCTAAACGCTACCGAGGAAATGGAGACCATTACTATTTTGGCGATTAGGCAACAAGCGCTGCTCTACCGCTGTTTCGTAGTTTACGCTCCTCTGGTTAGTGTTTCTCCGATGGCATCGTATCTGATAACCGGATTGCGGGTATTTATGCAAATTTCCATTTGCATAGATTATTTTTGTGAACGTTGGAACGAGGGAGTATTCATTCGCGACTGGAGAGCTCCTTAAGGTAGAAATATGGTTAACATGTTCTTAATCTTGGTGATACAGGTGTCCTTGCGTTCTGTACATTTGCATGCGGTGTAAACGCCGATAACCTTGAATTCACCGAGAAAACGAAACTTTATATATCATGATAATACTCGAAACGTGTTACAACTTGAGACGGGAATTATCAAATGTCGTATCGAAGATACGATTATTCGTTGGAAACGAACGTCCAAATAAAAAGCTGTAACTACCAGAGGCATCAAGATTACAACCAGCCATAACTTTCGCCGCAAAAAGATCAATTATTCGATCCTTCGAAATGGCAATGTCCGACAAAAATAGCGGGCAAGATAAACGGCGAGTTAAGCAATCTAAATTCTCCGTGCGATAATAATCCGCCGCTTGTATCAGAAACACGATCGCCGGGCAGCTTTCAACAAAGACGGCGTTCAAAGGGGCGTAATCCATCGTGGACGGGATACTAGTGGAAAGTCGGGCAATAGAAACTCTCTGAAACGAGACGAAACCGGACGAAACGAAAGGCATAAAGGCCGTGTGTTTGGCGCGGTTTGCCAAGGACCGTTAGGCAGTAAGGGAATATGTTGGCGCCTCGCGTTGGCCGTCCTCCAACGTTCGCCAATGTTGGTGCACACGCGGTTCCAACGCGACGAGTCACCAAACCGGCAGCTGCCAGCACAGGAAACAAGAGCAAAGGCAGGCACGACGACTCGGAGTGACCTTTTAGGATTTGGTCACCCTTGTACTTTAATTACTCATCATAGTATAGCAGTAGCACTTAACGACCTACGTATATACAAAGAGGCGTTGCAAATTTTCTCTAAAGTCTCGAACATGCTAGACTTCTTACGTTCTGTAGCTCCAGGGGTTTGTATACAGTGCGCTGACGAACAGAAGACAGCTCTAAGGAACGTAGAGTCTGATTGGTCAGGCTCAAATGAACACACCTATCCTCATACACGTTTTTAGCTTTAGCTTGCTATTTGCTGAAGAGATCACAGATATTAGTCCAACTGCTTAACGGTGAGAATAGACGAAGCACAGAACTAAAGTCTCCACTTGCGCCTGTGTCGTCTTAGCTGCCAACATTTCGTCAACGGCAGTATCCTCTACAGTTCGCTGCTTTCCGGGCCGTGGTACGTGTCGGCGCGTCCGCGCGACCCCCTTGGTATGCGTGCGGCTAGGTATGTGCCTCGAAACAGCCCGCAGAAAGAACCAGTTGCATTTATAGTTCAGGGTCAGCAGACTCATCGCTGACTCCGCTGCGCCACGGCTTGCCCGACGCTCCACCGACTCCTACAATCCTCCGGCGTCATCCTTTTTCTACCCGACATTCTCGCGCGCTCTTCCTTTCACCTCTCCCTTGAGTCTCTTCGTGCCCGTCTTTTTCCGCCTTCTCGTTCCGCGAGATGTTACTACTTTTGCTTTTTTTCGCGCTTTGATGTTGCCCTTTTATTTAGGGATTCGAAGGTTCGCATCCTGTGGTTTGGAGTTCTGTGTGTTCTGTTTTTTTGGATGGACTTTTGGGGAATTCTGTTGATGTTGGTGCGTTTATTGAAGATTGGATAGTCTGGTGTTGATAAAGGATGCGATGTCTAGAATTGAGGATTATATGTTTTTTGGAGAGGATATTTACTGTGAGAAAGATTAGTTATTTTGAATTTTAAAGCCACTTTGCTGTGGTTCGTTGGTGTTTACGTCCAATTCTTGCGCAACAAAGAAGATATAATCAGCATAATAATAAAATTTGTAAACACCAACGAACCACAGCAAAGTGCCTTATTGTGTAAGAGCGACGTGCAGCCGGGAACAGTTTTAACCCTTTTACGTTTTAAATTTTGTCGGTGTTAGTTTTTATCTTTATCTTTATTTTTGATGCATACTTTTGGGATTAGTCGAATAAATTGTAAGGTGGATGTACACGCATACAATATTTACATTACATTAAATTTATGTTAAATATTCTAAAAATGTCTGCATTACAATCTACATCTTCTTCATAACTACACTCCTAACAATATTTTAATGAAAGTAGTACTTTTACATCCCTTCAACGTATGCAATGTTAATTGTACTGAAATAAAATATAAATTTTTCACTAGGTAGATTCAGAAATTGACTAAATATTCAAACTCGTCTTCGGAGATACACTCGAATGTGAATGGAGTACGAGTTGCGTGAACGTCGATAAGATTTGTTGAAGCATCCTTCAAATGCTTCAATTGTCAATAAAACCTGTTCCTCGGATTGCAGAGCGTACGGTAAATTGGTTTCTCTCTTCGTCCCGTTCCCCTCTTCCCCATTTTTTTCAGGTTGATAGAGGGAAAGTGTGGCGACAACTATCAGAAATCGATAGCCGAACGTGTGCGAGCGCCCGTGCCCATGCACGAGCAATTTCCAATGACCTCGATGTCACCGGTAAAATTATTCCCGCTGCATCAGAGAGACTCTTCCTTCCCCTTTCATTGGTCCGATTTAAAATATACAGGGTGCTTGGGAAATCTCCGAGGAACTTTCCTTTTTAAAACTAAATAGAAAGTGTGTAATAATAATTATATTATTTTATTCAGGTATTACGAAACTACGCTAAAATAGAAATCTATTTCTTGTATATATGATTTTACTGAGCTAATAGTGTTGTAGACAAAATAAAACTGATAGATATTTGATCAGAAGACCTTTAATTTAAATGGTATCTAAAACAGATGAAAGATCGTGTCTGATCATAGTCTACCGTTTCTACTGTCCATGAACGGAAACCCCACGATTTGTTTCCCATTGATTTCACATATTCCTAGCAATCAGTTTGTCTCGGATTATAGTCAATAACAGATGATATCGTGACGTGATTGAAGCACATAGACATTACCCTAAGTAGAAACAGTTAGTACTAAACAGACATCGCTGTACATCGCTGCAATTACAAACAGATTGAATAAATTTCAACTATCGAATGATCGGTAGATTACGAACATTTATGGTTCAATAACACTCTCTATCCCATAAAATGCAACGAAAGAAAAATTTAAACAAAACTCAACACCATATGTTACTATTATTAGCATAATAAATCCTCTAATATAGAAAATAAAATGATTACCTCAATCATTCTCGCAAAACCATCCCGTAAAATTGGAAACTCCTATAAATATCCCAAGTTCAAACATGCAACATTTCAAGGAAGCGCAACGATGTCTTTCAGTGATCTAGGCCAGTTCTCGGAGTCTCAATACGCGTGCTCGTTTTCAACAATTCATATTTGTACAGGGGTCGTTCAACGAAATACGCGGTTCACGGCATCGAGTGGAACTAATTCCGGGGTAATCGGCCTCGATACGTAACCGGGGAAGATCGCCGGCTCACGAAACTCGGCGCGGCGCAGCTGATCCTAACCGTGAGGTCCTCTCCGCGAAACTTCTCGCCGCACGTGAACCACTTACAGTCGCCGCCATCGAACACTCGGCAAACTTTTAACGGTAAAAGTTCCGTTAGTTTAATTACTTGGAAACAATTCCCCACATCCGTGGCCGCCCACTCCCTCGACTCGAACGTGAAAACTTTTTTCGAACGTGTCCGCCGGTCGCGCTCGACTAGATTTCGCCGATCGATCGAGTGTTCTTGTGATTTCGCACTTTGTCAGAAACAATCATTTTTTATAACCACAACGATTCCGGTTCAGCATTATTTAAATCTTTTCTCAATCGATTTTTTCGATACGATTCTGATGATTCTTTTTCAAATCGTGTTGGTTTTAAGATTCTATATAAAAGCTAACGATTTTAGATGATTACCAAAAGGTGAATGAATGTTTCTAAAATTCAATGAAATTTGTTATTACATTACCTCTACGTTCTATAGTATCTATTGATTTTGCTAAGCTTCAGTCAGTAACCTGAAGGTAGGTTAGGGTAAACGTCCTCTCTCGAATAGTTGATTAGCAGAGTATCTCGAAACGAAAAGTTATAATTGAGACTTTCTATTCAGAATCTCCCGAAGTAACAGGAATATAAATCACGCTAAGATCTATAAACCAATCACGGAGTCGTGCATTTTTGTAAATCTGGCGAAGCCAATATCCCTAGCGGGACACCAATCTTCCAGACTTAGCACGAAGATTCCGTCGGTCATGCATAAATGACACGATATTCAAGCTGTCAATTTACGGTTTAATTGGTGGTGGAGCAGGAGCTGCCATGCATGTCAGTCGCAGAGATTTATCGTGGCGGCGCGGCGGTCTCCTGGATAAGCAGGCAAAATTACTGATATTCAAGCGCGGCGGGTATAAATGGAGCCTCAAGAAAGCTGGCAGTACGGTGACACACTCGGGGACTGTCGGCAACTTCGGTTGACCTATTGGCGTGCTTCGGCTGTTAGCGAGGATCGTCGTCGCAGCCCGGTCGAAAGATTTCTCGCAAACGTGGCAAACGGTTCCTGGAGGGCTGTCGGCGGGATCAACAGCCTCAGAGAACTTGCTCCCAAGTTTCCCGGTCGCCCTAACGAACTAAGTTTCGAGAGGCGAGCTCCGGGAAGCTCGTGGAAACTCGCATGGCTCTTAATCGGCCAGGAATTCTATCGCAAGCAGTCGGGAAAATGACACGGGCTACGTAACTGGCTCATTTTGAGGAACTTCCGCCGCCTGACTTCGACGTTGATTAACGCAACACGCCGCTTGCGACTTGTGTTCCCGTTAGCGATCACGAGAATGTTTCCGGATCATTGGAAAGCGATCGTTTGTTCCGTGTAAAAATGTCGTCCCACGATTTATAACGTGTCGCATAAACGTACTAATTTAACTGTGGAACTGTGTAGTTTCTAATTGAGGATCTGAAGCTTTGATAAATAGACAGTTCTATCTAGATACTAGGTATTATTGTTTTTCTATAGTTCAGACTTTCGTGGCCAAAAGGCAAGCTCGATTCTAGTAATTGAATAAATATTTTTCAAAATAGCCAGAAGACCGAGTTCGAACGTAAGATTGTAGTACTCACGGTGAACGGTTTCAGCTTCGTGTAATCGACGAAGTCCAGCCTTCGATCCTGCATGAACTCGAGAGGCATCGCGTCTTCCGGCAAGTCGGCGCGTGCCACTAGGGGGTAGAATGTCTGCAACAGATACGGAATCGCGGCGCAATTAAAGTTTGTCCAGCCAATCTACGACAACGGGGTGAAATTAAAAGATACCCGGGAATAGATGTCGCGGCAGCCACATCTACCACGTGGCGACAGTGCGTAATTTTTTAACGAATCCAATTTCCGCGCCCGTATTTTGCTTATTAAGCTCCTGTTTCCGTCGTCTCGGCCGTTTAATCAGAATCGCGTCTCAGACACCGAGGAAATAACCGTCCGGGCTCGAGTGTCGGCCTGACAGATAATTAAAAGTTCCAGCTAATTACGATTAAAACTCGCGTCGGCGTCGAGGAACAGAGGGACAAAGGGCGGGAGGAGCGAAAAAGGGGGGAGGGGAACAGCTGCACCACCGAGGCAACTGCCTCGGATTCGTTCGATCCTTCAGACGACAGCAGGGTTGCGGGCCACTTTCTATGCAAACTACCGGCCATTCGCGGCCGTTACCGTGGAAAATTCGAAACTGCAATCTTCTGAACGTGTTCTCGCGAGAACGGACACTCCGAAGCCGGCGCGAACAACGGAAATCGTTTCTGACGCCGATGTTCAAGCACCGAGGACGAAGGTATTCTGTATCGCTCTCGCGGGATAACGATTGGAAAGATTGGCGTGGGGCTATCTCGCTAAAAAATTGAAATGCTGATGAGGATGAAAGAGATTAACCCCGTTTCATAATGATTGGATAGATCTTGCTGTTGCTTTGAAAAAGAGAAGCGACCGATCTAAGAAAATAAGTAGTGCAATGAATATTCATGTAACAGAACCTCTCCCGTTGAAAGAAACGAGTTAGATTTCGTGGAATTTTTATGGCTGCAGATTTAAAAGCGAACGCGTTAAAGATAGAGGAATGAATATTCCCGGAAGCTGTCCAGATTAAAAGAATAGTCGGCACGTTGAGAAAAGGGTTTTACTATTATGGAATTTTTATGAGCCCCGTGGTTACATGGAACATGTTAAAAGAGAGAAAGAGGGCGCACTTACGAGGGCTGGCCAGGCGACCGTGTTCGCGACAGCAGTGGCGCCCCTCAAAGGTTTCCCGTTGATGCGGTGATGGTGGTGGTGGTTATTATTTGCGTGGTTGTGATGATCGATGGCGATGAGGCTGGCATGCCTGGGGTCAGGTCGCTCGGCCCAGTTCAGACCCTTTTCCACCAAGAAGAAGGAGAACACTGCGTCCCTGTGCGGCGATAGCCATTCTCTTCTTTGCCACTCTACGTCGTCGTATTCTACGAGGATCTGTAACAAAGGCAATCCATTAGAACGAACTACCTTATCGACCAGCCTCGAGATACTGGAACTAGATAATTGTAGGATTGTGATAATCTGTATGTGCGTACATGTACCGACCATATAAACATAATTATCAAGGAAAAAGTATAAATTGTAAACCAACATCGAACAACTGTTCGGAAGTTCCAACGTCACATCCGAACGAAAACCTTCACAAGAGGTTTATCAGTAATTTGTGATAATACCTGATAAAGGGGGATAAATTTCAAGCCGTCAGCGAATATTTATTCAACTTGAATAATTTAAACACTAATATATCAAATGTAAAAATAGGTGCGATTATGTATCCTGTCCGGGGCGGGGGGTTCAGTGTGTCCATAAACGTAGCGCTAAATTGTATTAAATTCTTTATTTTACTGCGGCCCGCGAGCCACAAAACGCAATAAACTGTCCGCAGCTCGGCAATAAGCAGTCCCTCCGGTTTTTCGCGTCCCTGAATCGGGAACAAGATAGAAAATACGAGGCAGGGAATAGAAGGTTGATGTCGGCCGATTAATACTATCCATTATTCATAAACCGCGAGGTGGATCGACGTTAACGGGGTGATCGAGGAGGGGGAACCGGGTGGATTCTCACGGTCGGTTTACTGCGGGGCTTCGTTAACGCGATGAATTCGACGCCGGGGAGACCGGCGTCGTCGAGCGATCGCTAATTGAAGGTCGGCCTGGCTGCGCGTCGCCTAATAACTGCGATCACCATGTCCGAGTGTCTTGATAAAATTGACTGGGTCTTCTATCGACCGTTTGACGATTCCGATCGTTTACACCGATCGATCGTAACAGAATAAAAATCCGTCGATCTCTTTGACAATCCGTGAGACACATCGGCGATGTTCGACTTCGCACACGTTCCGTTGTGTTGTTCCTCTTTTTCTATTCGCCAACCGGAATTGGTAACGAATAACGAAAATCACGGTGGAACAGCAGCGTAGTTTGTATTGGTATTTGTATTTATGCGGGACAGCAAGACGTCCGAGAGTTAATTGACGGATAAATATTAATGTGCAACCGAGATCGGGCCCGCCCGTTCTGCTGTGCCGCGGCGCAAATAACATAAATGTTAATAACGGGGCGTGGAGTAACGTCGATTTTTATTTGCGCACCGTCCACCGATTGAATTTCCTCGTTCCCCGAACCGAATTTATGCCTGCGGATACGCAGCACGCTATTATTTATTCGTTTTTTTCTTTTCTCTATTTTTCTCCTCGCCCGCTGTTTCTCTATTCACCGTTGCTTTTTTCATTCAGCACGTTCCTCGAAATTCGTGCCAATCCGCCTGAATAATTACACGCGCCACGTCGAACGATGACGCCGGTAATTAAAGTATAAACACACCGGCTAATTGGTGTACGAGTCGCCGATAATTATGTCGCGATAATGCCGACTGAATTTTACTGCAAGTCAATTTCTGCTCGTCGCCAGTGATAACGCGTCGTTCTAGCGTTGCAGTCTTATCGCGGAATATAACATTCAGTGTTCGTGCTTTTATTTTTGAAACAGCGGCGTTTACAATGGAAATTATATGTTCGAGAAATTCGTACTATCGACATAAGCTATCATCTATGTCAAAAAGAATCTACATAATCTGGGTCATAGTCTCAGTGCCCTCTTTTATCAAATTTACAAATTTGGAATCGTAGTTATCCACTGATGAAAATAAATCTTCCCAAAAATATTAGAGTCATTTTTTAAACCGCCTTTTCTTATTTTACTTTTGAAATAAATTTTTCACAATCTCTGAAGGACGATTCGTATATTTTTAGATACATCGAGACCAAGAAGTCGGTTAAAAGCGCGGGCAAAACAAAATTCGTTGGTTGAGGATTTGTCCGCCAGATGGCGATAGCTGTCGGAGTGGGGATTTGTAATGGCCGCCGTTGCGACGGACTCCACCCCCGAGAAACCGACAGTCCCCGCCCATCGGGTTGCCATAGCGACAGTCGGTCAGCCATTTTGGTCTCGCGACCTACCACAACCTTCCCCTACCGTCAACATAAACCTTCCCCCCTACTTTATCCACCTTCAACCGCGATTCACCTCCTTTCCCCTCAACCTCGTGGCGACGCGCGCCGTCGCGGTTCGCTTCGCGTTCCTCTCGTTTCGGACGGGGATCGGAACGGTACACGCGTGTTATTGTTTCCCTCCAGCGACCGTTCCCCGCCGAGCATCCTCCAACAATACATTTCAGGATCTTCAATCTGCCCTGGAACTATTTTTACAAGCTTGCTGAAAATCGATTCCTGCGCGGTACAGCGAGCAGAATTGATTTTCGAAATGTAAAAGTAGCTCTCGGGCGTGGAGAAGACGTTTAACGAGACACGGAACTAAAAGATTTGAATAATTTCAAATCCCGCCTGGACGCAAAAATCTGCAAGGGTTCGACGTTTCGCCGGAAGCTCGAGCGGGGACCATTTGCCAACCCCTGGTTCGAGCCTTCCGTGACTCTAATCACTATCATTTCCACTTTCCAGCGGCGTAACAACGACCGGAGGCGTGGAAAAAAACCTCGTTGTCCCAAGATGTTAGACTGTTGATAACCGACACGTCGTTTTGTAACTTTTTTAAGTTTGCAGCAGGACGGTTATGAATCGTCACGCGTCGGTTACCAGACCGCGGCGGCGTTCTAAAGTTTTTAGAGCGCGGTGATTTCGGGGGACAGATTCGCGGTGCAATTTGCATAGCAGGAAACTGAACGATCGTCGACAAAACTGGAATGATCGTCGCCGGGACGAATAACGTTCGCAAAAAGGGAGGGAGAACAGTTGGACTCGAGTTCGATCGAATTAACAGTTATACGACGTCGCGTTGCGTAAGGGTTCATTAAGAATTACGTTGGAGCCGGCTCCCTGCAGCTGTGTTCGATCGTTTCGCGTGTTCACGTTCACTTTTACGGTGCCCTTTCGCGACCGAAGTTCCTCCAGATTTCGCGAATCACGCTAGATAATTATTGGCGGGTACTCCGACCAAGGGTGAAGCAAACTTTCGCTTACTTTGAAAAAAATACGCCATTTGTTTCGGTAAAAGTGGTGCAACCAGGAAGGATTGTTGAGTGTTTCAGCAAATGTGAACTGGAAGCGTTTGTGTACCCTTTATAAGGGTGTTGTTAATATAAAACAAAAATGGGCGAGTCTGCTTGGAAAAATGTGTTAAAATTGTACAATGAAAAATAGTTTGTTATTAGAAAGAAGTTTTTTATAAATTTACCAAACATAACAAATGATACAATAGGTTATTCTATTGATTTGTTCTCTTCTTTGTAACTATTTTCAGTGATCCCAGTCCTTTTAGCAGTAGTCACGCATACGTACTTTCTAAGTAGAAATGGTAAGCAATGCACAGACGCTCCAGTGAAGACTGCATACCTGAAGAGCGCTGTGTAGAAGCAGTGTTTTAATACTAAGACACGATTCTATTAAACGTTTTATACACAGAGGATGGAATGAAATGTTAATAATTCTGTACCGGGTGTCTCAGAAATTTCTTCAAATTTTATATTGCAAAAATATAAAATACTTATTCGATGAAACCACTTTTAAATGACCACATGATTCTCAGCACAGTTCAAGTTAATACATACAATAAAGCATAAACGTCAATTCTATAATTGTAACACAATAACCGATCAATTCTTTTACATCCTTTTCCTCAGTAAACAACGAACGTCGATCAAATATTTTTCAGCCAGCAGCTTGTATACGTACACGCAACAACACTCTTTCAAACACGGTTTTTCCGCTCAAATTTCCGCGATACAACGCGCTGAATCTGGATCTGAAAGCCTACGCGAGGGGGAAACGCGTTTTGCGCGGCGAGCCAGAGCTCGCAGAATCATTTGCTTCCTTCTCGACGCCTCGTTACCGTTATTTAACCATAATGGAAATCCGCGACCGTGACGAACGTTTTTCGCGACACTTTTTAGTCGCGCGCGGCTTGTGCCTCGCTCGCGCGAAAACTGCGTGTAGGGAAGAAGAAAATGAAGGGAAATGAGAACAGATTCCTTTTTCCGCGTCGAAGTCATTATCGAACGTAAAATTACGATCCTAACCCGTGATTCTCGGATTTGTCACGCTCCTAAAACCCTCTGAAACCCCTTCGTTCAACACCATCGAGATAAGTCACGGAATTGAAAAGAATTTCTGGCCGGTTTCGATCGTTCTATTATTACACGGTCGAGCATATTACGGGATAAAAAGCGGGACTCGGTGATTCCGATCGCGCGGACGTGGCCGAGGGTGAGGAGCGGCGCGCACATTCGTTCCGTGCTCTCATTTCTAGCATTTGCCGGCGAACTCGAACCGATATTCGATCGACAGACGTCGGCGATGACGCAAGCCACCCTTTGACGCGCTGCTTTCCGCGCGAATGGAATGCAGGCTTGTTTGCCGCAGGAAGCCAACTTTCTCTCTGTGTCCCTGTATCCCGGTGAACGCCGCCCCTCCCATTCTTCCCCTCGTTCGACCCATTTCCTACGTTCGAGGAGTTCCCGTTACCTCGGACAAGTTTGTCCCGCGATACGATCGAAAGACGGCGGCCTGCCTTCTCCTCCTTTTTCTCTTTCGACGGTGAACTCTTCTCTTAGGGGTTGACGTTCAAGGTTAGGGTGGTAGAGAGAAATTTCACGTTCGAAGAAGTTACAACGTTGTTTATGATCATCTAGATTAGATAATGGAAACAGTTTATGAAATACCACGTGTCACATCAAATGTTTAATATTTAATAAAAAATAAACTTTGATTCAGGAATTGATGAAGTCAGGTTGCGGAAAGAGCTCTTAGAATACTTCACATCTCTAACCCCTCAAAATCCCAAACTTCATGTCCTCAAAAAGAACAACCCCAGAAGAACAATAAACTTCCAAGCGTGCGCTTGAACAAATTCTAATTAAATCGCGACATTATCCGCTCCCCGTGGAAAGAAATAAAAACCGGAGCCACGCGGGCTCCGAAG